AGCTGATTAACAGCCTTTTAGTCTACTGCAATCATTATAATCAGCTGTGATAAAGCAGGGAAACCTCTAAAACCAACAGGACAGCGGGCCTTGAGGACTGAGGTTGGGGATGCCTGATCTATGGGACCTAACAAACAGGTTTTAAACATTGATTTTAAATGGATGCAGGGCATTGTGCAGTTTGTTTCAGATATATGAAGCATAAAACCAGAGTACTGCTTCTCAATGATTGACTCTGAAACAAAACGCATTTTACATCTACACAGATCCAGGTTTTTATTTTCCCATCATAAAGAAAATAAACTTGTAGCTCTTTTAACCTTTTGAAGGCCTTTATTTTAGACAATCTTGTTCAACAACAAATATGATCTCAAAGCCTCCTACAGGACAAAAGGGCCCATGTAGATTCTGATTTGGATATTGTTCCGTTGATTCCTCCATTCTAATTCTTCGACTATCTGAGCTGATGTAACCAATACATTTCAACACTGTGACATCAATAAAGTCAATCAACTTATCATTCTCGTTCTGCACATAAAAACTGGGACAGTAGAGATGAGCCAGTCCCTCTCAGAACACCCAGTGTGAGCAAGAACCTAGTGGTTTGGGTGACAGGACAATACATAAAGTTATCAGTAGCATCATTAATGGCTCCTAAAGCGAACACCCTGCCTTTGTTATTTATTGCCTCTCAGACTTGTGGTCAATTTAAATTCTTGCTTTTACAACCACTTTAACAAAACATCTTGCTTTTGCTCTGTGCTGGTTCATTTAGCTCACTCAGTTTTATGTTTGTAGTATTGTATTCTATTTTTTTAAAGGAAATTCAATGATAAATGATCGATAAAGTAGACATTAACCCTGATCTAATGCAACCTTGTAGACACAGCTAGTATTAGTCACATAGAATAAACAGCGGTTCTAGAGGAAATTTACCTCTGGAGCCAGTGTTATTTCATAAAGCACAAAGGATATAAAGCACGAGTAAAAAGACAGGACAAGAGCGCCAAGGTTGCAGACCGAACAGATTAAAATGATGACCCTATCTTAATGGGGCTGGAGTTTAAAGCTCACTGTAGTTTCTAATTCACTGTTAAACTGAATCATAAATGGATAAATTGGTCCAGCTTTTATTATCTTAAGATTTAGTATTACACTGCAACAACTGATTCACATAATACAAAAAATCTTAAAATAGGTGCCTTTAACTTTGAGTAGATAAAAAAGATGATCTGTCAAAGGTATGAGTATTTTTATTCTTTAAATAAAATAACCAGATATGATGCACTTGGGAAAAAAGGTAAAGGAGTTGTTGCATCCCCTGGCTGGGTCTAGGAGATATCTGGGACCAATATAAATTTAAACAGTGAATTAGGAGTCAAAATGGCATTTAAAGAGGTTTATTCTACTATCTTTTTAAAGCAAGTTTCTGTAAAGAGTGGTAGAAGCTTCAAGGAGTGCTCAGGCCAAAATAATAAACACAGCAACAATAAATGTAAAAGAAAAATTGACTTACATAACTAAAACTAAAATATACAAGCCTACAAATAACCTACCTTGCAAGCACATAAACAAGAGAAACTGGGGTTAAATAAGAATGCAGTTCTCCCTACAGAAAGCAACATCTGAACAGGGTTATATTGTAGCAAATTAACAGTCCGTTAAACAGAAAAAACAACCACAGAGGTGTAAAGCTGGCAAATGGCCCAGAGGCCTGCAAAGAGCAGCTTCACAGGTTTAAATAGTGTTCAGGTGATTGATGATTGGACCGGAGACTCAGCAAGCAGCACCCAATCTTAAACTCAGAGTTTTAAACAGAACAAGGTATTATTTGGGTGCAAAAACAGAACAAAAGTATGTCCATCTTGGGCATGTAACCGGGGAGTTTTATTTTTCTTTTTTTTTTTTAGTTTAAGAAATCATCAATTGCAAGTTGTCTTACCAATATATTCAAATAAAGGGTAAAAAACCCCCCACCTAATTAAAGATAAATTCACTTTTTTGTTATTTTTGCCGCTTATCTTTCCAGTCCACAGGGTCATAAAAGGGACCAGGACCTATTTTACAGGGACACTAGCCCTTGTTTGCCCCTGTCTAGAATGACCCATTATCATAATCAATACATTTGTCATGCTATTTGTAATTAGTAAATACTAAAATAATTTGTGTGTGTGTGTGTGTGTGTAAATAGACAGCAAACATCTTTAAATGTTTTACCACATCATTTTAAAAAGTCACAACACTTTCATTTAAGAGAATACCTAAAGATTAACTCAAACAAGTACCTTCGTCGATTTTAAATCACCTACCTATCTTTAAATGTTTTCCTAGCATGCACATAGTCTAATTGTCCATGAATTTAAGAACGTTTTTTTTTTAGAGAGCTGTATGAGACAACTATTAAATTGCTAAACGGTTGGCCATACACCGGCAAACCATGGGGTGGAAGTGACGTAGCTGCAAAGCTGGCCCTCCATTGGCTGGAGTTTTAATGCGCATAATCCAAGCGTGAGCTAAAGAAAAACTAAGGTAAGCCAAAGAGATAAAAACTGTATGCAAGGAAAATATTTCAAATTTAACGTCGTACTTTTGTAGGTGAAACAGCAGAGAAAGTGTAGTGGGCTGGTAGTGGATGGTTTAACAGGAAGAGTTAAGAGTTTATACAAAAAATCGGTATCTGAGTAGAGGATAAACGTGCAGATGAATGTAATCGGCTTTTTTCAACATTAAAACAGTTATTGATACAAGACTCTCTCTGACTGCTCTGACTTCTTCCATCAGTTTAAATAGCAACATCTGAAGAATCGAGGTTTGTAGAAACAAAATCCAGAAGAAAACCCCTCGATCCTCTTTGTCTGAAAGGCTTTTGTTTAGCCGTTCATTACTGGAATCATTTTATCTTAGCTTCTTAGGGTAACTTCATTGAGTCGTGATGGTTTCTATATTTGCAGTTAATCTGTTCCAGTTTAGGTCTGCTTTTGGAAATTATAAAAACCAGAACCTCTTCTCTGTACTAAATCATCCTGAGTGTTTTTTTATTCTTACAAGTAAAACTGTAAAATAATTCTAACTTGGTGTGAGTTCATTGTCAGTTTTTATTAATGGTATTACTTCATCTCTTTATTTAAAATTATAATTTAATAATTGGGAGTGTTGGCCTAGTGGTTAGAGCAGTGCACTTGTGCTCTAAGAAGGTTGCAAGTCCCCTCAGCCTGCACCCTGGGTCCCTGAGCAAGACCCTTAACCCCACACTGCTCCCTGGGCGCCACACAATGGCAGCCCACTGCTCCCCAAGGGGATGGGTTAAATGCAGAGGCAAGTTTCTCCAATGTGAGATCAATAAAGTTAAAAAATTATTATCAAAATCTACATATAAAAAAAAAATCCACTTAACTCTCTCTCTCTCGCCTCTAGTGGCATGAATACATAAGGCATCCCATCAGTTATTTAAAGCACTTTTTTGTTTTCTTGTCTTTTTGTTTTGTTTTAACCTTTTTTATTCTCACTTTTAAATCAAGTCATTCACCATATCAGTGTTTTGAACATTTCAACGGAAACAGACTGCTTTGATGCACTGTGCATCCAATAGTGAGCCACACCTGTGAGATATTTAACCATATTTCCTACTATAACGCTGGAGGAAAACAATATTTGTCCAGTAAAATTTACTTTTTCTGCTCATAATGCCAGAAATCGTTGTAGACTTTGAATACAAAGAGGGTAAGGATTATTGGAAGTGATGGGGCATCGTTGGTGATAACAAAGAAACTAATAGAAGAGTGAGGCAATAAAGAGGTAATTAATCTCCTTCAACACTGTAACATTAAATAGTATCATGATGGCATATTTTCATGCGTTCTGTGACCATTTTAAACCAAGATGTTA